TGCGGGACTCGATCCCGGGACTCCAGGATCATGACCTGAGCCGAAGGCAGTCGCTTAACCAACTGAGCCACCCAGGCGCCCTGTAGTACATTTTTTAAAAAGAAAATGATTCATTGAACCCAGAGTTCCCTAAGTGTAGTTGAGAAATGATTTGAGTTCTCAAAATTTCATACCTAATGAGATGGTTCAGGAATATACTTATTATGCAAGTTGAGGTAGAGCCTTGTGAGGTGGGGCACTTTATGCCTAAGCTATGTCCTCCTGTGTTCTCTTGTCACACAGGGTTCTACAATTCTATTTTTCACCCCACAGATTTACCAATAAAGAGACAGAGTGAGTATGAGCTGGTGACTCCAGTCAGCACAAATTTTGAAGGACACTATCTCTCCCATATTCTTTCTGCAAATCACAAAAGGAGGTCACCGAGGGACGTGTCTTCCAACTCTGAGCAATTGTTCTTTAACATCACAGCATTTGGAAGAGATTTTCATCTGCGACTAAGGCCCAACACTCAGCTAGTAGCTCCTGGGGCTGTTGTGGAATGGCACGAGACATCTCTGGTGCCTGAGAATGTAACTGACCCCATTAATGATCATCAAGCAGGAAATGCTTCAGAAAGAATCTGGAAAACAGAGCCTTTGCAGACTAACTGTGCTTATGTTGGTGACATCATGGACATTCCAGGAACCTCTGTTGCCATTAGCAACTGTGACGGTCTGGTAAGACTTATTCCCTTTTGTGTGTATGTGTTTGCAGGTGTGTGGGAGTGCAGCATGGCTCCAGCATGGTTTGGAAGGTAGAGGTGGAAAGGAAGCCTTACTCTTATATTTTAAGTTCAGGAAGGAGCTTGAGAAAGCATTTTATAGTCAAAGATGTGTGCTTTGGCTTCATTTTGCCACAAAGACAGCATTATTCCGAGAAGCAAAAGATACCTATTTTAGCATTTTTTGCTTACATTTTCACTTGTGTTACATTGGGGAGTTTTATTTCCTTATTTCTTTCAAAGCATCCTGAAAATTTTCTGAAGAAATGTAGATTCCTCCAAAATGATAGCATTTCACTTCTTATGTGGAAACTTTGGATATCTTCTTAAAGTATTTTGAATGCATTCTTTCGCTTCCCCACAGAATGCTAAAATGGGAAATGAGCAGATCCTTTGTCAGAATTTGTTCAAATCACATTACTTTACAAACATGAGATGTAGTTATCTCTGCATCGTGGCTTTGAGTCAGGTTTTTCTTTATTTTCAACTAAAATACCCGTATATTGCTCTTCAGTTTTGTTGATGAGGCCAATAGTAACTGACCTTTCTCTACACAATCTGCCGATGTGAAATATTTTTGTTTCATTACTCCAGATGTTATTTGGAAAGTGTGTCAATGTTTATACCCCCTCCATCCACAGTTGGCTTTGTTCAAAAAAGCAACCATTTTTCTTTCTAGGGTTGCCAGACTGCTGTTTCTTGGGAGTTCAGAGCTATTCCCTTTGTTTTGCCACTCTTCTGGGAGTTCTCGAAATATTCCTTATGTTCCTGCTTATAATTATTCTACCTTAGCTGGTCCTCCAACAATACCATGAAGTTTTTGCTATTGTTCTCTCTATGCATAGGCCCAACTCAGAGGAGGTATGATACATATGTTTTACCAAATGCTGGTGAGGTCATTGTTTCAGGCTTTATTTTTGCAGTCTTGTCCTGCCTCTTGATGCTCTGTAGGGTTTTAAGAGCCAGTGCAGAAAACTGAGCAGAGGACATGTAGCAGGTCCAAGTGTTCAAGTGGGACTGCATTAGATTAGGATCTGTACATTTGCATTTGGTGCTAGACGGTATTCTGGGGTTTGAAGACATAAGGAATTGCTTGAATTCTCATTCTCTACAAAGGTGGAATAGATGTGAATTAATTAAGTCATTGAATAGGAAATAAAAAAGAAAGTACTTTCTAGAAGATGAAGTTCAAAGTATTCATTGAGAAAGTGTGATTCAGTAACTACTAAGATAGAAAAGAACACAAATCATACAAAAGGTACTATTTTGTAATACTTTTAAGTAAAATACATTGAATATGAAACTTAATTCAGTGTTATTTTTTAGTTTTATAGCGTAAAAAATTATGTACATTTACCTTCTCAGTTAAGATTTGAAATGTGGGATATTGGCTTGAAAATCAGTTTAAGGAAGGTAAAAGGCAAGGAACTGACTTTAATGCATCATCACAGTGATTTTTTTTTTTTTAAGATTTTATTTATTATTTATTTGAGACAGAGAGAATGAGAGAGAGAGAGAGCGCACATGAGAGGGGGGAGGGTCAGAGGGAGAAGCAGGCTCCCTGCCGAGCAGAGAGCCCGATGCGGGACTCAATCCAGGGACTCCAGGATCATGACCTGAGCCGAAGACAGTCGCTTAACCAACTGAGCCACCCAGGCGCCCCATCACAGTGATTTTTATATCTGACTTAGCAACCAGTATTTTTCTTACCATATATGTCTAATTATTGAATCATAGATATGAGAAATCTGGGGCCATAACAAGTTGTTATAAAGAAGAAGAAAATAGATATAAAGTCTGAATGAATGTTAATTATTAGGATTCTTTAATTTCTCATTTTTAAGACGGTGTTAGCATCATGTGTAAATTGATATTGAGTGTGTGTGTACTATACAGACTGCACACTGAAAGTATTCATTTGTTCCAATCTTTGGTCCATTAATTAATTAATTAATTAATTAAACAATATTTATAGGAGCTGGTGATGAACCAAGTGCTATTCTAGGCACTGTGAAATGGTGGAAGGAATAGTGGTTACCATCCTCATGCAGCTCAAAGATGTTAAATTTGTCATGAAATTTAAATGTCAAAATATCTGGCATATGTATATATACATATATATGTTAGAATCACGTTTAACTTGAAAAATTGTAGTTAAGGGAAATATGTTCCGGAGATATGAATAGGACAGAGTTTTGAACCAGAGATAATTGGCCTAGGCCTTCAGCTAGATCCAGGAAAAGGGTGGGTCTGGCCTCTAGAGAAGGCAGTGCTGACTCTGTGGGTAGGCGGAATGAAGCCTTTTCTAGAGTTTCCAGTTCACAGTAGCCATGTGCCAGGGAAAAGTGAAGATGATGGCAGAAAGAACAGCAAGCAGGGTTATGGGGAGCGAATCAACAAACCAGAGGGATAACAGCAGGACTACTTCATTAAGTTGGGAACAAGTTCTTAGAATTGTAGAATTGCATTGGATGGGATAAGTCCTTAGCAGAGATGAAGCAGGAAGTTTAACTGAAGGGAATATAAATAAACTTGGCTGATTTGCTGATTCCTAAACCCCTCTTCCCTTTAACTGGCTATATAGGGATTCAGGCTTAACCTTCTTGGCCTCAGAAAGGGAAGCAGGGATACTGAGATAACATAGATGCCTGAGGATTAACCTGATGGGCTATCCAGCCATTGCCCTGGGAGACTCTGAGACTATAATCAAATCCAAGTAGGTCTAGTAGAAAGTACAGCCCCATTTGGCCTAAAGATACCAATGGAAAAATACCTGCCAGCAAGTATATAGTTAAGTCTCCTGATATGGAAGACAGTGTCACTGAAGCTTTACCTGGATGGGAAGTCGAATCCTTTTGGTTACATCGGTTTTCGATGGTATTCCCGTGATCTGACTTTCTCCATGTGTCCTTCGAAGCTGTTGCACATAAGAAACAGCCACAGGAACATAGATTTCACTAGGGTTGGGGGTTTCATAGTAAGGCTTTCTCCCGCAGTGAAACTCCTTACATCTCTTTCCTCTAACGGAAGCTTGTGGCATGCTCTGTGAGTTTGAAATGGGCAGCACTCTCAGACAGAATTACTTTGTAGTAAGCAGAACTCTTTAATTAAATTTAAAAACGAGTGGTACTCAAAGTGTGTCCACAGACTCAGGCTTGTGAAGAAATAAATACCGAAAGTGAGACTATATATAGAAACTCTTATACCAATTTGACAATTGTATTTGTACCGGGTCGAATAATTTTTAAAAAATGGGGCTGGTGTTTTGTTTTATCATTTTTTAAAATTATTTATTTATTTTATTAGAGAGTGTGTGTGAGAGAATGCGCAAGCAGGGGGAGTGGCAGAGGGAGAGGGAGAAGCAGGCTCCCCGCTGAGCAGGGACCCTGATTCGGGACTCGATTTCAGGACCCTGAGATCATGGCCTGAGTTGAAACCAAGAGTCGGACAAGAGTCGGCTTAACCAACTGTGCCACCCAGGCACCCCTCTAGTAATTAATTTCTGTTGTGTTTTACAAAATAGTCCAAGACCAATTGGGAGAAAAGAAAACATTGTCTCCACCACAGATAGTTTGCCTGGGTGGCTCAGTCGTTAAGCGGCTGCCTTCGGCTCAGGTCATGATCCCGGGGTCCTGGGATCGAGCCCTGCGTTGGGCTCCCTGCTCAGTGGGAAGCCTGCTTCTCCTTCTCCCACTCCCCCTGCTTGTGTTCCTTCTCTCACTGTGTCTCTCTCTGTCAAATAAATAAATAAAATCTTTAAAAAAAGAAAAAAGAAAAGCAAGCAGCGACACTTAAGCTGTTTTTACCCCTCTGGATATCAGCTACTTGACTGAAATAGTAAAATAGAGTCTACCTATCCCAGGTAACTGTATGAAATGATCAAAGGAAAGGTGCTTTAATAAAGGCTTGATTGAAGAGGACAGAAAGATGCCTCGAGGGACATATCCAAAGCCAATGTCTAGAATGTGGTTTAGACATTGATATGCATCATAACTAAAATATTATTCTCTTGGTTTCTGAAATCAACATCAGAGTCTTCTGCACAAAGGAATTGACAGTGATTCTTACCCAGTGTGGCCAAGAATAATTAATCTGTTCTTGTCTAGTGTGACCTTTTCCTGTGCTTTGCAAGATGATCATTTATGAGTGACTGCTAATTCTTTACCACTTACAGCTTTATTCTTGCTCTAGTTTATCCTACCTGTAGGTAAGAACTACTAAGATGTTCAGTCATTGAATCGTCCCTGCTTTCTTTTTTTTTT